TTGGAGGAATTAAATTTTTTGTGGGCACGTGTAAGTTTCTGTTGTTGGCAAAAGGAAGCAGTGCTGGTGTTCTAAGCAGGCTGTTTCTTTGTTCCTTATTTTCTGATGAACACTGTTTCTTGAGCCTTCTCTTTAATTCAGCGTATTGCTTATTCCTTTCAAATAATTCATTTTCCTACCTAAGATAACACTGTTTGGTTGGAAAAGAGAAACTCTGACTAGTTCAAAGAAACTATCAAAGAAAATCTGTATATTAAAATATAAATATTGTTAACTTGGAAGAAATTACTTTTAGTTACTACTATTATTTATGTTTTATGTGGTTAAACATAGTCACAGTTTACACAGTTTTTTTATCACTTCTTTTAATTTATAGTATGTCATGTTCATTTAACTAGTCACTTACAATGTACAAATTTACCACATAATTATTTATTGATTGCTTGCAATGTTTCAGGCAATGTGTTAAGTACTAGAGTACTATAGTGGATTAGCAGGGATGAAGGCCTCTTGGTTCCTGCAGATCAGTATGAAGTATATACTTAACAATGTCCTTGTAAATGGAACAAAGCCTGCATCTTTTTAAATAGTACTACCTCTGTCCTGATGGGTGTTACTAACATTGTTAATATTATTATACATAGTATTATAGATTTTTATCCCTGTATATACAACTCTGGATATTTTGATTGATATCTAAATGATTTTATGAAACAAACAGATGAGTTAAAGGGTTTGGATATGCTAGAGTTCTTCATAAATTCCTGACAATATTAATAAGAAAGTACTATCTGATAAATAGTATGTGCCTATCTCACTGCATGCTAGCCAGGAATGAAAGTTTGTAAATGAATTATTTGCCAAAAGTTCTCTATTCACTTTTCAATTATTTCTTATATTTTTATTAGTCAGTGAATTGGTCCTCCATATTCAAACATCATTACTGTGTCATTTTCTTTAATTGTCTACTTAAGAATTTTACACATTTTAAATCACAGTTTTCATAGTTTTTATGTGAAATATTTAATAACAACATTTTAAGCCTGTTGTTATATTTCTTGCAAACACAATTCACCTTAATCTGCAATGTTTAAAAAATTAAGTTGTATTTTCAAATTTTTCTAGTGACCTTGCTTAATTCATTTATAACCATTGTGCTCAGCATTATGAAACAGGACATTGCCCTTATTAGTATAATTAAAGTTTTAATGCTCAATCTTTCTTTTTAACTGCTTTATTGAGGTAAAATTAATATGCCAAATGTACCCTCACACATCTGTCCTCTGGGAAGATCCTCCCTTTCCACATCCTTCAGGCCCACTCTCAAATGTAGCTGTCATCCAGCCACTGTTCATTTTGTACTGAACATATTTTCTGCAGTGACCCATCTTTAATCCAAGTCTTTGATTTTCCTACTCATTCAGTTGGATGTAAAAAAGTTGCATCTTCATACAGCCATGACTGTAAGATGAAAGTGGATTACTATTGTAATTGTTGTGAGTGACATGGGGTTGTGAGCTTAACTGGCTGTCTTGTCCTGTTTGGACTAGATTCAGGATATACTGAGTTTGTCCTGATAGACTTTTGTTATGTCTATCACATTTTAAGACTTAATGAATCTTACATAACCCATCACATTATGGTCATCCTCAGATGCATGCTCGTTTGGTCTTTCATGATTAAGTGTTCAAAGACTACCGAAGTCCATAGTACATCAAGATGTGTAAAAGTATATTATACTTTGCTGCTAATGGCATAGCATTTCTCAAGAAACCCCGGGATACACATTGGGGTTCACCCACTTAAGCTTATTGTAAGCTTCACACTGCATCATTTTCTCCTGCTGGCACTTCCAGTACAATAAACTATGCTAGGTCACATGGTCAAAGCAATGGATCCCTGGGTGATTACACCTGCTACACGTTTTTTTCTTGCTTTAAGCCCAATTAAAACTTATAGCTTTCATATCACCAGGCATATGGGACAGAACAATAAACTTAGATATAGAAAATGTTGCATTCAGATTCCAGAAGGGACGATTAGGCCTCGTGTTTCTTTTTGTGTTGAGGAATAAGAATATAGCACTTGTCTTTTACTTTGGAGAGATTACACCAACATACCTCTGACCATGGATGCTTACAAACTTCATTTAAAATGACTGTTCACTTTTTTTTCAATGTGCAAGCATTTAATTTGGAAAAATTCGTGTACACAAGCTATCAGTAAGACTGGAAAGCAACTCTAGCTCTGAAGAAGAAAGGGGGAGAGAAGATAGGCTAGATGTGTCCTAGACTGCTATGCAGTCTAAGAAAGACACAGCAATCGTACTGGGGAGGGTCCCAGTAAAGGTAATCCATGAAAAAGATCCCATGTTTCCTACGCATGGGTTTGCCTTGGTATTCCTGTTGTATTTATTCTTAGGCTGGAAAGTCTGACCTTGGTTCTGAGGAACCGTGTTAAGGAAAACCTAGTTCACAAGAGGCGTGGTTTCAAAGGCAGGAATTTCCCAGCGACTTACCTCTATCCACGTCCCCGTCTGAGAACTTAAAGTTCTTTGTCTGACTTTCGAGTGCTGGCCTAGGTAGAAATTCCAGGTGTGCTTCTTTGTTCAAAAAGCCCGCGAAAAGCTCTGGGAGGAAGGGCCTCTGTTGCCCGATGTAGCAGCCAATCCGGTATCAGAGTCAAAGATCAATCACTCCAGAGGAAGCTTGAAAGAACTCCTCTCATTGGACAAAAACATGAATGAGGTGGGAATAACTCCAACTCCAAGGTTACACTGCTCCTTACCTATACGGATATTCCCTCCGGATTCCTCTCCCACAGCAACATGGGAGCGCTCTCTCTCTCTCTCTCTCTCTCTCTCTCTCTCTCTCTCTCTCTCTCTCTCTCTCTCCTCTCTCTCTCTCTCTCCCCTCTCTCTTTTCTTCTCTCCTCTCCTGCCCTTCTCTTTTTCTCTCTCTCCCCCCCTCTCTCTCTGCTCTCCTTTCCTCTCTCTCACTCTCCCCCTGCCTAATTAATCGCTCTCTGCTAAACTCTTTGGGCCTGTGATATTTATTCCGTTGGTAAGCTCACCGGGTCTCCAGGGCCTCGTCCCCCATGTCTCGGGCAAGAGAGTCCAAGGACCTGGGAACATCAGATCGGGGAAACTGGAAGAGTCTTTGGGACACTCGTGCAGCTCTGCTCCTCTCCGGTTACATCTTTGGCGATCTTGGCGATGGACGGGAAGGGAGCTGAACTCCCGCGCCCCACCCTGGTTAGAGTACCAATGTTTCAATGGGTTTCCGAGTGCAGCAATTGGTGTCCTTAATCAATTACACTTCTATATAATTGGAGACATATGAGGTGCATTGTCACAGACACCACGTATATTTTACAGTATTAGCATGTATGTTTAATAGAAAATTATGTATAACATGATCTATAATGTCAGGCAGAAATAGAATTAAATTCCACTTTTGCCAATTTTAGTGACATTAAAGTAAGATAATTTACAGATCTGAGGCTGTTTACTCAGCTTAATAAATGTATATAATTATACTGTACTTACTACATGAGAAATAAATAAATAATATACATAAAACATCTGGCTCAGAGTAGGTAAGCAAGATTAAAATGCCAGGCAATCTTAGTTTTAAGATTGTCTCTATCTGTAGAATAAAGCTAAATAGTATGATCAATTGTGAAAGTGAATTTGGTTCAAATATTTAATGAAATAGTCCCCTATATGCCGCATGTGTGTGTGTGTGTGTATATATATGTATGTATATATATATATATATATATATGTATTTTAAATAAGGGTTTTGATTTCTACAACTAAGAAAAGAAGTATTAGATGGAGATGTATATTATCTTTCTCTACAAATAAGAAGAATCTATTTATGAGAAAGAATTTTTACTGTGGGATGAAGAGTTAAATGACTGATGGATAAACAAGGGAATAGGTAGTAAAATGGAAAAGCATTTTGAGCCTACTCAGACATCAAATTGGTTCTTAAAAGCGCAAAATTAAGAATAAAAAAGCATTTCTACAAGTAGCAAATATGCAAATTTATCAGTAAAATCTAAATTAGGATAAGCTCATAGATTATGTAGGTATCTGTTCTCTTAAGGTAATTTTATTTTATTGTTTAATATCAATTTTATTTACAGTCAATTACAAATGTGTAACATTTCTCATATTTGCATTACAAATCAGTACATTAAATACCATAGAGAAAAGTATCTCCTATATTCATTTGCAGAACTTATGTCTAGATTCACTGGAGCTTACAGTAAAAGGAAATAAAGGACGCTAACCTCATCTATTACACATAATAATTACAATAAAGAAAAGATTAGGCGAAATAAAAATTGCATTGCCCAAGTACCTGAAGTATAGGAGGAATTTACCAAGAGGACTAATTCTATATAATGAAAAATCCTTTTTTTTTTTGAATAGCAGACTGTTAATGGGAGCAAGTATGAATGCTTTAAAATGAAACATGTCCACATTCTGAGTAGAATATTTAGCAGCCTGCAGTGATTTGGTCAGTATAATTTTCAAATCATTTACCATTTAATATTGACACTTCTACTAAAATAATTCATGCTGCGAAAATGTCTCTGCTTTTTAAAGCTAACATTAATTAAATCATATAAACCGGAATAAAAGTTAATTATATTAATACAATTGTTTATTGAAAATACCCTTAATTTCTCTTGAGTTTAGTAAGCTCTTATTGTATGCAACTAATTGGGTGTTTTGAATGCTGCTGTCCTAGAGATTTTATAAAGAATGAGGGCACTCTGGAGTTAAATGAGGAAGGTGAAAAATGTGCTGCATTTCAATAATGCTTAAAGGAAATTTTACCCTTTTCCCTGTTTGAGAAAACTATGTCATGTGCTTGCTTTAAAATTCATTTCTATCATGAGCAGTAGTATTTGTAATTTATGAGTTATATTTTGAATAGTTTTCTGATACCTTATTTGTTCTTCTTTATTTATTTATTTATTTTTTTTGCGCACGCAAGCTGGTTTATTTGGTCTCCCGCGCACACTCAGGCCTGCATCACCGGCCGCGATTTCTCTGCAGCTTCACTCCGGAGCCCGCGAAGCCGGTACCGCTCCGCTGCAGCACGACGATGCCGCGGTCCGTGAGTTCGTCTCCACTCACACGATCCACCATGTCCTTCCGAATCGGCTTCACGCCTTCAAGGGTGACCACAGCCAGAGGGCCGCAGCACAGCACGGCGGGTGGCGTTGCTCAGGCTGTCGCGGGTCACAGCGCCACCTAGCGCTCGCTGCGTGTGATGAGCCCCACGCGGTCCCCCGAGCTGTCGAGCGGCGCGAAGTGCACGGGCTTCAGGTCCGACATGCGCAGGGACTTCCCCCACGTGGGGCAGGTCACCGTGCGGGACGGCTTCTCCAGCTTGGTGGCCTTGGCTTCGGGTGTCGGCAACGGGATCCAGACGCTGGGTAGCACTTTGTCCTTGTCCTTACTTGGGGGACCCACGCTGGGCCCGGCTTGGGCATCACCTGGGCTGGTGGCCGAGAGGGCCTTGGCTGTGAAAGGGTTGAGGGGCGGCTCACGATGGCCGACTCCTCCTCCAGGAAGCCCCGCACGTGATCCTGAGAGGCCGCCCCTGGAGCTCCTTCTGCTGCTCCCGCTGGGCACCCCACTGCTTCTCACAGGCCTTCATCTGCCGGGCGATCTCCTTCTGCGGATGCGGAATGTCCTCCAGGAGGGCCTCACGCTCATACCGGTAGCCATCTGGGGTGACAACAGGATCGTGGCAGGGCTGCAGGGAGAGGCAACAGCAGTGGAATCCGTCACAGCATCTCGGCTCAGTCCAATGTTCTGGGTCCCACAGCCTGAGGCCGCTGTGCCCTTCCTCTTCTCAGTAGGTGTAGACAGCCCCGCACTGCAGTTCTTCCCATGCCGTGTCGTCCCCACGAACGACTCTCCGTTCCTTGATTGCTTCTTCAACTGTCTGTTATTTTTCTTGGAAGCCAAAATAAATATTATTTCCTTTAGCAAGCTTTTGTAAATGTCTGAATTTTCTTCTGTAAATATTTAACTTTGTGTGAATGAATTTGTTATAATCTTTATTTGATAACAGTTTTTAAATATGTTTGAAAGTACACGTGCTTGATTATATTTCTGGAGGAAAATCCATGAATCATATTTTTAAATCTTACATTAAAAAGACAATAAATTTGAGGAGTGAGTGTTGATATTAATGGATCTTGTTGTTATATTCCCCAGATTCTTGGATATGGTCACTTCTGTGACTTTTTCTGAGACCAGCTACTCTGTGGAGACAGCAGAAATTAAAAAAAAAATGTGTATGTATATATACACACACACACATATACGGTAAAAATTGTATGTATATGTATATAAATACACACACATATGGTAAAAAATGTAGAGAATAATATGAGATCCAAATATACACGATAAAAATAATAAGACTATTACCAATATTTTAAATTGTTTCAGCAAAGACACACGTTCAGTTTTTCACCTTCTTGTTGGGAGTCAGAGGTAGTTACACTTGATGAAGAGAAGTGGGAAAGCCTGAGTTTCCTTGTGGTATGACCTTGCCTGATCAATCTCATGAGAGAAGCAAAACAAGAAATAAATAGAAGAGTTTTGTGCTTCAAGATTCAGTCTCATGAAAACAGTCATAAACATCATGTAGACCAAGTCTGTGTTTCTCTAGCATAGAAACGGTGATCTTTGCCAAACCTGAGCAGTAAGGGTTCCATTGTCATTGGGGCATCAGAGTTATTGGAGATCAGCTAACATCAATCAGAAATTCATCCTTTCTAAACTAACAACAAAAAAGCAGTAGTGAGCATTAAAAAAACATGCTGGTGTTTATTTCATACTTTTCAAACTATGATTTCTTCCAGAAGAGAATAGAGAGTGGAAGGTATTTAGTGACTAATCATTGCAGGCCCACTGAGTGTCAAAGTTCTAGGAGAGATTAAGATTGGCCTCAGAATTTCCCTTCTAAGAATTGACTTACAGTTAGTAATAAAAATACTAATGTAAACAGATAATTTGCTCATAACCAATAATACATTTTGTTTGAATTCCCTAAATTTACTTCCAGGGCAGTTACAATTTAACCATTTAATTTCAGGATACACCCTTTTAGGCTTAAAATTATTCACTTGCTTATGTATCGGTTCTTAAATTGACTGAATAGAGATAATGGAAGTATTTACTTTTCTTGATTTCATTCATATGGTCAGTTTCATTTATAAAAACAAATCTTAGCAAATCAAAAAACATTGCACTGACAAGCTGTGAGCAATGACAGTAATTCCACTAATGCAGTTGCCAAGTACACTAATTATCCTAATGATGATCCAGTTGTCTGATAATCGCATTCCCCAAGGACCATATACAGTCAATCCACACAGCTGCAAAGTCCTCTCCAGGCTCATTTTGCTTTTTCCTGTCTTGGTATAAACCACATAATATTACCTTATTAGCATAAAATAATCATCGTAGCTAAACATGAGCTGAACATACAGACAGCTAAAATGCTAAAGGGTAAATGAAGAGACTTCTACATGAGGTGCCAGATCCTATCAGCCATTTCTCCAATGCCAGATAGAGCCACAGTTTCAACCACAAATCGCCTTTCATCTAAAATAATCATGTGGGTTTTGAAGAAGTGGGAATACTCAAGTGATTTATTTACCTAAATCAATAGGATCTTTGCTTGATAAAAAATAGTTTGAAAATATAGCTGTATAGATTTGTAGGCAAATGCTTTTTTTCTTTCCTCTTGAATGCTCTGGCACCAGCCAAAAATGGTCTTAACAAGTATATTGAATTTTAACATACAATTTGCAATGAAAATTATTTAGCTATCACTGAGGTAAGATGTTAAAATTTATATTTGGAGAAAGGAAATTTAATGGTTATTTATTTAAAATACAGTACTTTTGTAAAAAACCTCTCTCTCTCTGTTTTTTAAATTGTTAGTCTTTGTCAAGAACTGTGAAGAGTTTGAGCTTCTAACTCTGCATGATAGCAAGCTAGTCTGCCATAGTTGCGTGGATTCAGGCAAAAGACTAAAGACTAAAGATTTCCTTTCTTTTGCACGGTAAACAGCATGAGTTCCTTGGTTCTTTCTCTTTGCCTCCTAGGTTCTATGCGGCGAATGTGAAGCTGCTCAGGTAGGTGCTGCTCACATTGTTGATTTTTGTACAACTGAGGAAACATTAACTTAGGAAACTTCATCTTTTAAAGGGGCTCCTAGAAAACCTACTCAATGTTGCCCCAGAGGGAAAGATTATCTTTACTATCTTAGACAGCAATCAAATCTGCTATCTGCCCCACATGGAGAAACTATCCCTAACTTTCAAGGCTGTTTGCACAGCCTTAAAAATGTTGTTCAGAAAAATGTAGCAGAGTAATGTCTCTTAGAAGATGTGTAGAAACACAACACTATTGAAAAAGGATCTCCCGACAGGTTTCTTCATTCTATAACTATTCCAAACTATAACCACATAAATAATTTTCAGAAACCATCATCCTTCAATCATAATTTATTTTGGTGTTATATATAACTTGAGTGAGATAATAAAACATAGCATATGGAAACAGGAGCAGAAGAGGTATATAAATTCAATGTGTTGAAATTCCTTTTGTAGGTTAAAAAGGACCCGTAGGTAGGCAGAGAGAGCATTCAGAAAACAATACAGGCCCCCTTGACAGGGCAGAAGAAGGAAAAGATGACTGACTAGAAAGAGATTCAGATTGTAGTGAAATTCCTAGAAACACCCCACCAACTGGATATGGAGCCCTGGAGCCAAGACCATCACCATCTGAGTTACGAGCTCCTCTCCAGCATCCACATTGAACTCAGTCATTGGCTGGGAGCAATCTCAGGTTTGGCTCATATGTATTTTGGGTACTGAACATGTAGCAAGTATTGTCTGTCTATAAACCAAAAGCAGATCCTCTCTTGAGAGGTCATATCAGTGCACTCATTCAGCTGCCAGAACACGGATAGTGCCATTTTAATCAGGCACTGTTACTTACATGTAGGAATATCCCATGTTTTATAAATATTTCAAAGATGTCCATGCTCCAAAGTCCTAATTAGGGATAAGTGCTTTTATGTTTTTTGATCTGGGAAGACAATATAAATCCACAGTCTCTTTTAATATAGCATGGAAGTTCATAGGAAGAAACGAAATGAAGAACACACGCGACTCCAGAGCCATAGCGTAGGACAGAGTTCAGCAAAAATTTTCTTCAAAGGAATGGATAGTAAATACGTCTTGCTTTTATACCATATAATCTCTGTTGCAAATACAAAACTCTGCTTTTGTAATGTGGAAGCAGCTATCGCCAATACATAAAAAAATGAGTGTGGCTCTATTCCAGTAAAACTTTTTTAGAAATAATTGGAGGGCTGGATTTCACCTGTGGACCATACTTTTCTGGTTCTGGCTAAACAATAATTTACCATGTGCTCCATAAGTGTTCCTCATCTGTACTTGGTCAGTAGTAGGATCGAGCAACAGCTGATAGTTTGCATCTAAGATGTACGGAAGCCAACATTGGACTTGTATGTTTTCTTTGACAAGTTGTAATGTTTACCGCTGAAGTGAGAACCGTCAGGATGTCACAGACAGATCTGCTATTGTAAAGAATTCTTCTGTGCTTTAGTGTAATGGAAGAAGGTGTAAACGATTATGCTGCAGTGGATCAAATGAGTATATGGAGGGCTGGTATGGGGATTGAGAAATACGGAAGATATAATGATTATCCCAGTATTTTCTATTTTTATCATTTCATGTGTTGAAATGGGTGCCTATTTAAGGAAAAAGAACATATATTTATTTGTACTTATTGGTTCAATAATTGAGATAGAACTAGATAGTAAAATAAGTGCTTTTATGATATACAATGTATTTTTCTCTAAGAAAAGAAAAAAAAAAAAGAAACAGACTGACAGAGCACCACTGACGATGCAAGTGAATATAAAATTCTGTGATTTACTTTGGGTTTTCAAAATATAGCCCTGAAGATAAAAACTCGGGTATAGGTAGTTTATTTTTTGATGGTAATTTCTTTTATTTGGAAATGATCTCAAGAAGTAGGAATAAAGTGGAGTAAGAAAAATAGAAGGAAAAGTTGATGTAATGTTGCCATTATCCAACTTGCTGTGGTACATAACACAAATTCATTTTTTCTGGGACCATGGGCAAGTAGAGTTTGCCACCCAGAATTGTTCCTCTGTAGACTGTAGCTACCTCTCACTTCTGAGATGTGTTAATCTCTGGGCCAAGTGGTCTGCCACTTGGCTAAAATCCACGTGCAAGAAGGTGAAAAGACCCACAGCTACAATGTTGCTGGAGGCAGGATGCCATCAGCTGTTGGTGAATCAGAGTTCACATGACCTGTCTAGAGTAGCCAAAGCCGAATCCAGAGGCAGTTGAGTGTAGGTGATGTAGAGTGAAAAGGTTATCTGCCTGAAGACTTGTATTTGACTACTATGTGTTCTCTGCATAATCAAGGGATCGCGTACTTTTTTCTCTTAATTTGGGTACTGTTTATACAGGTTTTATTAGATGTATAAGCAGTATCTGTACCAAAATTCTTGGTTTTCCTGAGATCCTCATGATAATAAACATATTGAGATGGGTTATCCTTTTTAAGACTAGCATTCATTAATCGCCACAATAAAGAGAACAGGCAATGCATTGTTCTAATGTTACAGAAATGGCTGAGCACCAGTCTTTTCATACTCTTTCCTTTAATCCAAATATTGATTTCATGACATTCCATATGCTTACACAAGTGTATGATACTATTTGTGTTTAGAGAATTAAGTAAAATGAGAAGAACAAAGATGTTAAGTATTGTTTTTAATGGTATTCCTGTTATCTTTGTTAATATTTCTGCAATGTTTTCAGATTCTCATTCTGTAATTTGAGTATCTATTTAATAGCCTTAGTTAGATTTCTCCTTTGGTCTTCTAACTGTTTGAAATTTTTTCTTATTTTCTCAGAATAGACATTATTGACTT